GCAGGAGCGCACGATCATGTTGGACAGCTGCTCCACCTTGGCTTTGCGGCCCACATAGTACACGATGGGCAGCGGCTCCAGCGCCTGCGGCACGCAGCACGGCGCCGCCGACGCGCCGGGGTTGTGCTGGTTGTACAGGGCCAGGACCTGAGGGAAGGCCAGATGGGTCAGGGGCGGATCAGAAGCTGGCGTGCGGCGGAGCAAGGCAGCCTACACACAGCCCTCGGCTGGAGACTGGCGCGTCCCCACCCTGGCCCGTCTCTCCCCATCTTACTCTCCCCTTCGCTCTGTCCGGCGCTACCCTCCTGTCTCTCCCCACCTCTGCCTCTTTATCCTCCGCTCCGTCTCTCCGTCCCGTCTCTTCCTCCCCATCCTGCCGACACACCTCTGGTCTTGGTGCCCGTTCCCCCCCGCCCGGGGCCCAGACCCACCTTGCTGTACTGTGTGTCCAGGCTCCAGATGTAGGGGCAGGGCCCTAGGCAGAAGTTGGCGTGGTAGCCCTTGGGCTCGTGGATCCACTTCCACCCCAGGTCCTTGCGGAAGTCAATGTAGAGCTGCCGCACACAGCAGTTCTTCTCCGTGGAGCTGCAAGCAGGAGGAGCTGTGTCAGGGGCAGAGAAGCCGCGCTGCTCCTCCCCAGCCTGTGTGTCACCCTACGTGGCCCCCCACCTCCATCTTCCTTCGCACCGCCATGGCAAGAATTCCCTAAGAGTAATGATGATTGCTAACACCTGCACAGCACCTCCTCTCCCAAACGCTGTGCTGGGAGCATCATCGTAAACGTTATCTCACGCGGTGCTCAAAACAAGTCTGTAAGAAGCCAAATGACCACCCACAGGCAAAGGCTGGAAAACCTCACGGCACATCCACACGAAACATTCAAAACTGAAATGCAGCTCCAGGTGTGCCGACATGCTCTATTTGCACAACACGTGCTCGCTGAACTACTACAGTGCGCCAGGCTGGGCTGTCCCCCGGGAAAGAGCATAAACCAAACAGACAGAAACCCCAGCTTTGCAGGGCTCCCCTGTTCTAAGCATGGCTTCATCACACTCAGCCAATGCCCAAGAGCAAGTCCTCACCAGAGCCACAAGGTGCTACGAACCTGGCTGCCTCCACGCCCTCTCTCACCCACCCTACTTCATTCCAGCCACACTGGCCTCCTGTCTGTTCCTCAAATAAAGTCCTGTCTCAGGGCCTTTGCACTTGCTGTCTCCTCTGCCTGTACTTCTTTTCCCAAGATACCCACTCTGACTTGTACCTTCATTTATACCTTAGCTAAAATGTCCATCACTCCCAAAATAGTGCCTGGCACACAGTAGGTGCTCAATAAATATCAGCTGCAAAATGAACATCACCTCCTCAGAGACTTTCCTCACCCATCCTGCCTAAACTAATCCAAATGACTGTTGATTCCATTCAGTACAACCCATACCAGTATGGGCCATACCAGTATCACCCATATTTGAAGTAGAGGACAGTCCTCATAACTCTTGAACCTGGGGAGTGCTCATAGATGATCACTGTATCATTTTCCTGATTTTGTTTACACTTAAAATTGTCCATAATAACATAGCTTTAAGCCAGGCATGGTGGCTCACGCCTGTAATCCCAGCTCTCGGGAGGCTGAGGCAGGAGGATCTCTGAGTTCAAGACCAGCCTGAGCTACATAGTGAGTTCCAGGTCAGTCTCAACTACATAGTGAGACCCTGTCTCAAAAAACCAAAAACAAAAAAAACAAAAAAACACCCCCCCAAAAAAAACCTTTAATCACAATAGGAAAAATAAGTAGTTCTCAATATCCATTTCCCTCTCTTTTCTCTGATTTCTTTTCCTTTGTGTCCCCACTGGTTCTTTGATTAGAGAATGATTATCTGTCTTCCTCTAAGCATGGGAAGTTTTTTGGTACTAGGGATTGAACTCAGGACCTCGCGCTTGCAAGGTAGATGAGACACCACTGAGCTAAATCCCTGGCCCCAGCATGCAAAGTTCTGACTGTTTTGTTTTCTGAACTATCCCCCCAGTTTGCTCCAGTAGGCGCCCCACAAATGTTGACTGTGTAAGTTAACCAACACATGACTTTGGTCAGAGACAGGGTCAACATTACAGGTGTGCCCGCTGCACCCCATGCTTTCAACTTGCTTTTTTAAAAATGTAATATAGGACCAGGGATTTAGCTCAGAGGTGCCTCACCTGCCTTTATAAGCACAAAGTCTTGAATTGGATCCCCAGTACCAAAAAAAAAACGGAAGATATGCTGACTATGGTGGCACAAGTCTGTAATTCTACCACTCAGGAGGCTGAGGCTGGAAGACTGCAAGTTTGAGGCCAGCCTGGGCAATACAGAGATCTAGTCTCAAAAGAATAAATACAATAAAATAAGTTTTAAAATAGTGCTATATAAGACTCTAACATCACTCTGGACTCAAGATCTCCCAGGCTGAAATCCGAAGTTAGTTCTCCTCAGTCTAGGCTCAGCCTCTGCCTGCCTGAAAGGAATAGGGTGCTATATGCCACCACTGAGGGCTCTGACTAAAATGGACGAGGAGCCTAGTGAAAACATTAATTGTGGGAGGCCAAGAGCTCCACAAAGCTGGGTTATGGTGCATGCCTGTGACCTCAACACTCTGGGAGGCTGAGGCAGGAGGACCGCAAATGAGAGTCCAGCCTGAAGCAATTTAGCAACTTGGTAAGTCTCAAATTAAAAAAATAGGAGGGCCGGGGATTTAGCTCAGTGTCAAGGCCCTGGGTTCAATCTCAAGAACCACAGTGGAAAAAAAATACGTGGCCACGTGTAAGTGTGTCATGTGGAGACTGCCTTTGGAAGGAGACCAAAGGACCAAACAAAGTGCCTCTCCTGAGAGGCGATGGGTCGGAGTGGAGGGTCTCTAAGTATCCTCTCTGGGATGGGTCTGTGTGCAGGTAAACACCTATCCAAAAAGTAATTTAAAAAGAAAGAATTAATTCCTCCGACCAACCCTAATAGGTCTTTTTTTCCCAAAAGAATGAAGCAACTATGCCTCAGAGAAAGGGGGAAGGTTGCTCGCTCACACCTTACTTGGTGGAGACAAGTTCTCGAGTCAACCCTGACACTGCAAGCCTGTGGTCGACCAGACTGGACAGGTAGAAGAGGAAGTGGTACTGGCAAGGAGCCCCCAGGGCAAGGTAAGACCTTTCCAGGAGCCACAGAAGCCTGAACAGGGATTTAGGAAACCTAGGTCCCTCGGAACTCAGTCTGGTCCCTCTCCAATTCGGTTAGGCCTCAGTTTCTCTTCTCTGTTCAAAAAGGTGGAGGATTTTGGATCAAATAAGGTGCTGTTAACTTTAGGGCCAAAAAAGCATCCTAATCAGTGGATTTCCTAATCGGTGGATGAGCTCTAGGAGAGTCTGCAGAGCTTCACTATCACACATATATGCACATATTTCTGAGGCAAAGGGGTCCTGGATTCCAGCTTTTCAGAGGAGAAGAGTCTGACTCGCAAAAAGGGAAGGACCACTGTCCAGATTATCTCTGATTTCCAGTTCAGCTCTGGCTGAGGTTCTGGGTCCTAGGAATTTGAACAGCCTGTGATATTATTATCTCAGTCAGTGCTTCTCCATGTAGGGGTCCCTGGCCGCCAGCACTACTGGGAACCTGTGGGAAGTGCAAATTCCCAGACCTGTGGGATCAGAAACCATGGGGCAGTAGGGCAGCAGCCTGTGGAACGCGCCCTCTGGACACACAAGGGCCTATGACATGCAAGGCCAGGGATTTGGTGGCCTTGATTCTGCAAGCCTCTTCCGGTTTAGTCTATCAAGATCCAGCTCCAGCAAGAGCTGGGAGTGGTGGAGCACACCTGTAATTCCAGCACTTGGGAGGCAGAGGCAGGAGTATCTCTGTGAGTTGGAGACCAGCCTGGGCTACATAGTGAGTTCCAGGTCAGTCTCAACTACATAGTGAGACCCCGTCTCAAAAAACAAACAAACAAACAAAAAACCACACACAAAAAAAATCAAAAACAAAAAAAAACCCAAAAGATCCAGCAAGAGCTAATCTCTAAAAGGAACCCATCTGGGGCCAGGTCCCAGCCAAGGCCCAAGGCTTCACATTTACCCTGGGTGGTGGAGACAGGGGACAGGGAGGCTTCCTAGTAGAGTTGGTGTCTGAGCTGATGTAAAAACAACTTTTTATAAGAGTATAGTTCACAAAGAAGCAGAGAGTATTGCATTATAAACTGAGTATCTCAGCAGGGTGTGGTGGCTTCATGCCTGCAATCCCAGCACGCTGCGAAGCTGAGGCAGGTGGATGGCAAATTCAAGCCCAGCCTGGGCAACCTAGTGATACCCTGTCTCAAAAGAAAAAAAATTTAAAGGGCTAGAAAAAGGAGTAGGGATGTAGCTTGATGGAAAGGCCCTGGGTTTAATCCCCAGTACCACCACCAATAATACTAATAACAGCAATAACAATAATTACATGTAAAAAAACAACGATTCCTTGATAAAATCAAATATCCATTCACCTACTCTTTTTTTTTTTTTTTTTTTTTTTGGTACCAGGAATTGAGCTCAGGACCTTGCTCTTGTGAGGTAGGTGTGGCACCACTGAGCTAAATCCCTGGCCCCCAACTGTCTTATAAACATCTTTTTTTGTTTTGTTTGTTGGAGGGGGGTTGTTTGTTTTATTGTTGTTGTTGATGTTTTTGTGGTTTTGGCGGGGGAGATACCAGGGATCAAACTCAGGACCTTGCACTTGCGAGGCAAGCAGTGGAACCAATGAACTAAATCCCCAACCCTGTTTGTTTGGTTTTTGAGGCAAAGCCTTACTACGTGTCTCAGAGTGGTCTTGAATTTCTGGGGTTCAGAGTAGCTGGGTACATGCCTGATATCTTTTTTTTTAAGCCTGTGTAAATTAAAATCCACATAAGCTCTACACATCACAACTGATTAATGTGGCTCTCAGCATTCTTTTAAAAATCAACAGGACAGAACCACCTCTTTATATCCCCCTCCTTTTGCCCTGTGTTTGCTGCGGAGATTGGGTCGGGTTTCCCACCATCTGGATTTTGCTGACTGTGTCACCACGGGGTGGCTGAACAAGTTCCACTGTCCTACTATTTCTGGACACTCGGAGTTAAAGTTCTGATCAGATTCAAGTTGGATTTTTTTTTTTAAAGATTTCCAAGGCAACGCTGTGTTCCTCCCTGAGGAGGGTCCCCCAGCAGGATGCCTCTCTCTGTAACTTGTTGGTGCTCGGGACCTCAATCTATGAGTTCAGGGAGACTTCTAGGCAGAGGGTGGTAAGGATCCAGGAAGCAGGACTGACTGTCCAGTGGGAGAGCAGCATGAGTCAAGGCCCAGCAACACCACGAAGATATTTTAAGCAGGGGAGGGACAAGGTCAGATTATTGTTGTAATTTCACAACATTCTAGCTCTGAATTTCAACTTTCTAGGAATCCAACATTTCAACTTTCTTAGATTATAGTACTGCAGCTTCTTAAGATTCTAACATTCACCTGCATTTCCAGAATTTCTAGAATTTCTACCTTCCAACTCTTGAGGATCTTGGTTTCCTGTTTTGTTTTTTGGGGGAGTAGTTTAAGACAAGGTCTCACTATGTAGCCACAGGCGGGCCTTGAACTCGCAACAATCTCTTGCCTCAGACTCCTGGGTGCTGGGATTGCAGGAGTGTACTACCATGGCCAGCAATCTCGGTATTCTTGAATTTCCATATTTCAGTATTAAGTTCCAACATTCCACAGTTCTGAGCCCATCACTCAGTCCAGCACGCCAACTTCTAAGACCCAAGATCCTAACATTCCAACACTGATCTCCAATCATCTAGGATACCAGTATCCTCACCTTCTCCCCCTGCAACCCCTGTGCATACTAACATTTTAACACAGGACTCCAGCATTGAGTCCAGTATTCCGGACTCTCATCTTCCCACAGTGAAGACTGCATTCTACCAAGGGTGTAGGAATCCAGTGTCAGCACTCTTCCAATTCTGAATTCCAAATTCTGGGATCCCAACAGTTCAGCAGCTTTCTTTGAGGCCTGCAGTCTCAATTTCAATCCTTAGCACTACTCCCTACCCGCTTTGTGAGTAGAAATCATGGCTAAGTACCTGGCTGCTCAGCTGTAGATGAGATTCCCTGAATTCTTACATTCTTGAAGCCCAACAAGGCTGAGGAATGGATCTCAGTGGTAAGTACTTGCCTAACAGGCACAAGACCTTGGGTTCAATTTCAGCAATGCCAAAGCAAAACCCCAATACCCCTGTGGAATCCTAACATGCTAGAGCCCCAACTGCCAACAAGGTAAGGACCCAACAAAGCAATCTTCCAACACTGATTTCCAACTCTTGGTGTCTAACCTTCTAAGTCTCTGATTCCAACACGCCAGCAAGAAAGCAACCTGATCTCCACATTACAGAAATCCCACTGCCTACATCCCAGCCCAGCATCCACCCCAGAGTGCCTAGGCAGTGGACAAGTCAAGCCCCTGCTGGCAAGGCTGCAGTGAAAAGCTGCCAAGTTCACCTGAAGCAGTAGTTGGTGTCCAGGGCTCGGCGGTGTCGGGAGCTGTGCAGGTGCTGGGCCCTCTCCAGTGGGGTGGCCATGAGTAGCAGGAAGGGCCGGTTCATGCCATGAATGGCTCCCAGGTCACCCCGGCGTTTGGGACTGATCCCTGCTTGGGTTTGGGAATCAGAGTGGAGGATACACACATTCTCAGGATAGGTCAGTGAGTAGGAGGCAAATGAGCTCTCTCTCTCTCTCTCTCTCTCTCTCTCTCTTTGTGAGAGTGTGTGTGTGTGTGTGTGTGTGTGTGTCCCTGTCTCAGTCTTTCTGTCTCTCTTTCTCTCTCACATAAGCACACACACAACACAGATCATTCCCAGGCATGGGGCCCGGCAGGGAATTTGGCCTCACCGTTGATGTCCACGCGGAGTGTGTTATCTTTGCTGTCACAGGAGCAGTGAGCGCTGAAGCGAAAGCCCTGTAATTCCTCTGTGGGAGGGGACACAGGGAAGCCAGACTGAGAGTAGCTCACCCAGCCCCTAAGGGCTGCAGCAGGAAGGAGCAAACCCAGCAGCTCCTTCCTGCTCACCCCACACCCCCTGCCCTGCCCTCTCAGCAGTGCCCTCACTCCAGCTGTGTTCCGGTGCCTCCTCTTCCTCCGGGTCTCAGACCTCCTCAGAGAGGCCCTCCAGAGTGTACACCCCTCTACTAGGACTGACATCTGTGTTTGGCTATTTATTTCTCTCATTGTTCTTGGTAGTAGACAGCAGGACACGCCAGGGCAGGGATCCTTGCTCTTCTTGTTCCCCATTGGGCCTGGCCCACAGTCGTACAAGCAAACATCTACTGAGCACTGAGTGCGAGGTCCCACTCTAACTTCTCTATGCGTCACCTCCTTTAATCTTCAAACTCCCCATTTTACAGACCAGGAAGCTGAGGCACACAGAGAGGAAGTGGCTTGCCCGATGTCACACAGGTGCCAAAAGATGAGGTGGAGGTATAAATCTAAGCCCTGGCACTTTCCACACTGCAGGCATAATATATTTCCTGAATGCATTACATGAATGATGTTGTCTAAGCTTCTACTGGGCACCACAGTGTACGCTACATGCTTGAGACTCGGCATGCACCAAGACAAATGAGATCCAGGCCTTTGCTGAATGGCCCAGGACACCCCTCCTAGCACCTATCTGCTCCCTCTTCTTTCCATCCAGCCAAACTGTTACACATCCCACGAGTCTCCACACAATCGCCCTCATTCATCTTTTTTTTTTTTTTTGATACTAGGGATCGAACTCGGGTCCTTGGCACTGGAACCATGAGATACATCCCCAGCCCCCTCATTCATCTTAAGAGGCCTCCAGGGTTCCTCCTCTGGGCTCCACAGCACTTGCGATTCCCTCAGCCCAGCCGATCCCTGGCCTGTGCCTCCCTCGTCCCCCATACACGTCTTGATCATTTAGGGCATTACGGCCTGGTAGAGCCTTGGTAAGACCACTTAGGTATCAAGAAGGGACCGTGGATCCTGTGAGGACAAGACCCAAGGTGGTCTTGGTTCCTACTGTGTCCCTCACACCACCCAGCGCGGGGCCAAGAACAGAGCAGAAGCCTTCTGGTATTTACTGAATGAGTTCAGGAATGAGAACGCAAGAAGGGGGGAACATTCACACACTGTGGACTTTGCCAGGAATGGGACAGACACAGTCCTCTCCCAGACGGAGAAAATGTGTCAGGCTCTCCTTAGCCTCCAGGCCTTTGCACAAACACTCCTGCCTCTACTTCTTTTCCTGCCTGGCTTTCTCATCTCTCAAACATCAGCTGAGACATCTCCTCCCCTAAGAAGCCCTCTGAGTCCAGGCTGGGTCAGCTACCTCCTGTGATCTCCCCATCTCAGCCCTGCCACTCTGAGCCTTCACCAGCTAGCTACAGGTCTGTTCCTGATCCATCCACCCAGGGAACAAGGATGAGATTGTTTTGGTCACTGCTGGGTCCCCAGCATCACCCAGCACAGGATAGGGTAGAGAAGAGCTCAAGAAATGGACTAACCATTCATGGGTTCATCAGTTAAGTGGGCCAACTCTGGCATCAACATTTAGTGGGTGGTGCGAGGCAGGGTGACCCCAGGACAAACAATAGGGCCGATCCCATTGAGAAACAGGCGGGGGAGCAATCCTCACCTCTTTGGCTCAGCCACTGCCGCACAACTCCAGTGACATCAAAGGACAACCACTCCGGCGTATCACTGGGGGTCAGGAGCCGGTTGCTGAGGTAGCGCCAGGAATTGTTGCTGTATTTCTGAAGGATGACAGATAGGAAGAAAGACTGAAGGAGGTGCCAAAATATCATACACATGTCACATACACTAACAATACCCCCGTTCTATCTGCTCCCCAAACACTAGCCTTCCAGACATCACTGGGACTCGGCAGGCTCCACCTTTGCCTACAGCACCTTTTTTAGGAGAAGACAGGAGAGCCTGCAGCTCAGGTCAAGGCAGATAGGGCCACCTTATCCTTTGCCTGTGATGCACTGTGAGGCTGTGGACACGTTTCCCTCTCTAGGCCTCAGTTTTCTCCATGGTAGAATGCCAGGCCCCTTGTAGCTTGGACAGTTCATAATGCTAAATCACTGATATTCCTGGGATTTTTTTTTTTTTTTTGAGACAGAGTCTCACTATGTAGTTGAGACTGACCTGGAACTCACTATGTAGTCCAGGCTGGTCTCAAACTCACAGTGATCCTCCTGCCTCAGCCTCCCAAGTGCTGGGATTACAGGTGTGCGCCACCACGCCCAGGTAACATTCTTGGGTTTGCTGAGCATATGGTTCAGCAAATTTGACACTCTGGATTCAAGAGACAAATTTCTAAGGGTTTATGTCAGAAGTCATTTCCTAACTCTAGTGTTCGATAGGATCCCAAGAATTACACACATAACAAACCTGAATAGTTCTAGAACACTACTTAACTACAAAGCAAGAATCTGACAGGCACTGCCCCTAGATGCCATGTGGAACAATCTCTACGGTTGTATGTAATACATCAGAGGCCACAGCATACTGAGCATTTCCTAGATTTCAAAAAGGTAATGTTAGACAAGGAGTTCTCATTGAGAGTCTAACATCTGCTGTCCTATGAGTCAAGGGTTCCATATGACATGCTAGATCGTAGAAGTTCTAGAGCCTGCAGCCCTCTCTGAGGCCTCAATGTTCTTGGAGACTCCATCTTCTAGAGCAGTGTAGTCCTCCATAAGAACCTTCCGGAAATGTTACTATGTGGTTCTAGAATTTCCCAGCCTTTCTAGAAATTCCAACTCTGAACAGTTTTCTGTCTGTCTCTGGATGGAACCCAAGGCTAATTCACCAACCACTATGCTATATCTCCAACCTGTCCTTCATTCTTAAAAAAACTCACCTCCTAAGACCTCCCTTCAAGAGCCTGAACTTTTTTTTTTTTTTTTTTTTTTTGGTACCAGGGATAGAACTCGGGTCCTTGCACTTTCAAGGCAGGTGGCAGAACCACTGAACTAAATCCCCAGGCCAAGAGTCTGAACATTTTAAAGTCCCCTAGGATTCTACAGTTTGTGCTCCTCAGTCCTTCAGGGACCATTAAGGTAAACCCTGCAGCCAGCAGCATTCTGAGCAACTCAGACTGTGTGGCCAGCACCCCACCGCTCAGGCTCAATGGCCTTACTTGGTACAATTCCACATGTTGCTCCACGCTTAACTTGAGTCTCTGCATACGCAGCTCTGCCCGGGAGAGCAACAGGGGGTCAGGCACAGCTTCCCGGAGCTCTGATGTGTTGAAGAACATATATATACTGTGTGCAACCGTCTCGATGCTTTTATAGATATCTAGTTGGGAAGAACAGAAAGAAAGGGTATTAGGGGTTTGGAAGGGCCTGGGCAGCAGGTGCACCCCAAGTCTAGGTGAGTGGACTCTGGAGCTGAGAGTGCTAGGTTGGCATTCCACCCTGATACTGTTTAGCTCTGAGATCCCTTCAGGTTTGCTTCCTCCTCTGTAGGAGCAGTCCTACTACCTTCTCTCTCATGAAGCATCACTGATCAAGTGTACATCTAGTAAGTGGCTGCCCCCCAAGGGGGGCTGCTCTGTTTGCTCAGGCTTTCCCAGAGCTCAGACTTAGAGCCTGAAATGCAAACTGAATTACAGAATAAGGGTCAAAACCACAGGCTTTGTGGTGGCGCACGCCTGTAATTCCAGCACTCCAGAGGCTGAGGCAGGAGGATCACTGTGAGTTCAAGACCAGCCTGGGCTACATAGTGAGTTCCAGGTCAGTCTCAACTACATAGTGAGACCCTGTCTCAAAAAGCCAAAAAAAGGACCACAGGCTTTAGGATAAGAGAGTGCTCTGCTGCATCTCTGCTATGTGACCTTGGGCAGTTTACACCTTTCTCAGTACCTCTGTTTCCTGTTATTCTTTGAAAAACAGCAATAACATCAAGCTGCCTGAGCCAACCCAGGCTTTCCAAACTGAAACACTGGTAACCTGTAGCAAGTGAATTCCTCTTTCTGAGTCAGAGCTTCAGCTATAAGACAGTTCCCAATTCCAGGATTACAGGAACAAACAAGTGAGAATCAGGATGCAAAACAGGCATGTGATATAGTCCAAACATACCAGTCCCTCTTAACATCCTCGGTGTTAGAGTGTCATCTGCCAGATGCTATTCAAAACGCTTTACAAAGAAACCTCACAAAGCCAAGAGGAACATATTATTATATCCATTTAATAGATGGAGAAACTAATTTGCCCCAAGGTCATATAGCTAGGAAGTGATAGAGAGGGATCATTTATTTATATGTTGGTTCTTGCAGACAGGGTCTTGCTTTGTAGTGCAGAATGGCCTCTCCTGCCTCAGCCTCCCAAAAGCTGGGATTACAGGCATGTGCCACATATCTGGTGGCAGAGTGAGATTAAGATTAAGTAGTCTCATTGCATGACTGCTCTTAACACCTAAACTATGCTACGTTCTTGCCAATATGACATTATTATGATCATTATCAATTCCTTCCTCCCTTAACTCTGTTTCCCAGGCCGTTAGAGAAGGTTAAACTGGTTTAGTTTAGAATGACAGCAGAGGTGTGGGGGTGTTAAGAAGAGGGTTGTGTGATCCAGGCAAAGTTTGCAGCTGGGGACAAGGGGGCCGGCTGTGAACTCCTAGATCACCTAGTGCAGAAAATCTGAAGGAATGAGGAAAGCCCTTCCTGTGATCCCTAACGCCATGCCCCTACCCCAGCCCTGTTCTTGTCCCATCCCTTATTCAATAAACCCCAAAGGACAGGCAGAGCCTCTGGCAGGAGTGGCAGATAGGGAAGAGACATGAGGGACAGAGACATGGGGAAGGAGGAGTGGAGAAGAAAAAAAAAGAGATGGAAGAGAAAAACACTGGGACTCAGAGAGACAAGGTGGGTGTGGGAGAGAAAGAAACAGTGAGAAAGGAGGAAAAGATAGAAGGTGATGTTCAAATCACATCGGGGTCACCAAAAAAAACAAAAAAAAAGAGGTGCAAGATGCAAGATGCAAGACGAGACACATATGGGATTGGGGGAGAAATAAAGACGGTCTGTGGGGAGGAAAAAGGGAGTCTTTTCCTTGTAGAGAAGGTCACACCGAGAAGTGTGGGAGGGGGCATGGTTTGGCCACAAAATGGGGAGCAGGAACCGGCAAGAGAATCCGAAAACCCACCGCCCAAGGGAGAAGGCGAAACCTTAGGGACAGCCTCGGCTTGAGGCCCCGCAGGGTGTCTGGGTCCTGCTTGGGCCCTCGCGTGGGCGCAGACGGGGCGTACCCAGGAGTAACCCCGCCCGGTGTTGGGGTGAGAAGGGCGGGAGGCGACGCAGCCACGAGGGCGGGGATCAGACCTGCCTTGTCTCGCCCCAGGCTCAGCGCTCGATCCTTGCCACCCGGGTGGGGGGGTGCAAAAGAAGGAAAGGGAAGGGAGGAGGGCCAGGCCGCCGGACGCTGGGGTTTCCCCAGCCTCCCCAAGAGGAACTGAGACTTCGAGGTCTGGACTGCCGGCGTTCAGCTCTACCGGGCTCTCCTGACCCCTCTGGAAGCCCAGCCCCCACCCCAGCCGGCGCACGGCACCCACGTGGGGCTCCTCACCCCTACCAGCTCCGTTTGCTCACCTCGGCCTTGCAGCGTCGCCCCTCACCCAGGGCGGGCTCGCTCTCAACTCACGCCCATCCCATGCCGCGGCGAGCGCGTGTTGCGGGTCCACCTTTCCCACGCCTGCGTCCCTTTTCTGTAATTCCCGTCCCATGACCCAGTGTGCTAGATTTCCTGGGGGCTCTCTTCCTCCGTGGCTCTCTGCGCTATCTCGCTCCTGCCATCTCGCCGCGCATCCTGGCTCTCCACCACCACCACCACCCTGTCTCCGCTCCTCTCCCGCTACCTTCCTCTTCTCAACGACTTTACCCCCTCTTCCCCGGCATTTATCACCCCAACCCCACGGTCCCTCTCTGCACGAAGCCCCCTATCCCGCGTGGTCCTGGCGCTCTCTGGAAGTGAGCCCTCGACACTTTTCCTGGCACTCCTGTGGTTCACTTCACCCGGTTTTTCTACCCTCTCATCTCCACCTCAGGACCCCAGAGCTCTGGATCAACTCTCCCTATTACCTTTTCTTTCCCAAATGTTGAGGTCTTCGCTTTTCCTAAACCATCTCCCCTCTCTGAAAAAAGAGATCCCCGCGCGCCCTGAAAGAGGGAGCCTTTTTCTACTCGCCCTCCTCCATTGCTTCTGTCCTTCTAGGGGCCTCTCCCCACCATCCCGCATGCCCCTGTTGCCTTCTACAAGTGACCCACTTCGCGGGCTATCTCCCCCTTTCCAAGGCCAGACACCTGGGGGTAGGGTCAGCGCCGTCCTCTTTGGGATACCACCCCTCCAACACTCCAGGAGCCCCCAGAGGTCCCCTTCCTCCAACCAGGTTCTTCTGCCAGTCATTTCCTTCCCGTGACCCCTGCACTCCGGCGCCCCCTGGGGGCCCCCTCCCGGCTCCCGGGCCCCTCCGAGCTCACTGTGGTTGTTCTCCACCATTAGCACGCGGGTGACCTCCTTGGCATAGTAGTCCGGCTCGGGCTCGGGCTCCGACTCGGCGCTCTCCCCGGCCACCCGGTCGCGGGTGCTGTTGTACAGGGCGAGCACGGCCTCGGGCAGCGGGCCGGGTGGTACCTCCCCCTGGCTGGGGGGGCTGGCGAGCCG